AAGTCAATCCCCCTTCTCGGTGTTGTTTCCCACATTGTCTCCATTTCCTCTCACCCCAAGAGTCTTTGGATGTGTTTGTTTTGTTCAACACTTGGGGCCTGGTTTGGACAAGTTAGATGCACGAGCTACTGAGTGTATCTTTCTTGGCTATTCGAGGACTCAGAAAGGGTATAAGTGCTATAACTCTAAATTCCATAAGTCATTTGTGTGCTCTGATGTCACCTTCTTTGAATCAGTTCCCTTCTTCTCAGATGYTGTGGTTTCTTCTCCTTCCTCCGTGGTTCCTCTTCCCGTCCCTGTAGCAGATCCCCTTCACGTGGCTCCCATTCCTGTTGCAGATTCCCCTTCCATGCCAGTTACTACTGAGAGGCCTCCAATTATACAAGTGTATACCCACAGAAGAGCATTGGCTCCTCCAATTCAGCCATCGCCAATAGATCCTGCCATTGCTGCTTCTCCCTCAGATCTTGATCTTCCTATTGCCATGCAGAAAGGTAAACGCACTTGTACACCGACTCCTCCTCCAATTCAGCCATCGTCGATAGATCCTGCCATTGCTTCTTCTCCCTCAGATCTTCTTCTTCTTCTTCTTGGTTATGATGTTTTGTTGTAGATGCAACAATGATGGTAGGGGAGGAAAAACAGGGGAGTTGTGCTATGGGTTGAAGAAGGGGAAAGAGAGAAGGTTTGGATGGACGTCGTCTTTGCTTCTTCTGTTTGAGATTCCCCAAAGAAGCCCTACCCATGCCCGATCCAAGATGCGTTTGTGAAGAGAATGTGTGATTTGTTTGAGTCGTCAAAGTTGCCACCGGCGAACAATAATTCTATTTTGGTTGAGATGCATGCAGCCAACCCTATTTCAGGCAAGCTCTGATTTTAGGCAAGTTTTGGAACATTATTTTAGACAAGCGTTGGTTTCAGGCGAGTTTTGGACCACTAAGTCATGCAGCCAACCCTATTTCAGGCAACCTTGTGTCATGTGCATATGGATTTTCACGGAACATTAACGGATGCTAACGGCAGGGATAGAGTAAGTCAATTGTCAGAAACAGTAGGGGTGATTTAAATCAATAGTTAATCAGTAAGAATACAGTTTGTCAATTAACTAAACAGTATGGGTAATTTAAGAAATTTGCCCCTTTTACTTATAAAACTCTGCGCATTAAATCAAATGAAAAAAATAATAAAATTATTAGACCAAACAATAAATGTTAATGCCACAACTTGAAAGTCAATGAGCAAGAGATGGTAATAGTAAAAACTCAAATTTCATTGTTCAACCAGTGCAACTTGTAATCAGTGGTTCGGAATTTAGGAATAAGAGTAGGAGCGTTGAAAACTGGGGCATTCCATGGAGATTACTGTAGGTGATCTTATAAAACCATCAAAGGGAAGCACATATTCATCCCATCAGTATGTTGTATTGAATTGCGTGAAACGGTGAAAGTGATACTTGGGAAAGTTTGTTAACGGCTGAAATGGCTGAACTGAATGACTTAGTGCTTTGTCTCATATAAATAAGTTACTAAGGAAGTTGTGAGTGGCTGAAGTTGAGTACTTATCCAGTTAAATCCTCGAAGTTAGCCATAGAAGACAAGCAAAAGTTATCAAACGGCCTTCATCAACATGTTATGAAAATCACACGCAGATCCTAAGATGCAGAGAAGACTGTAAACATTGAAGAACCATTGATTCATTGAATGCGCCACAAGGTTATATGAGTAAAAAGAGACAAAATATAACTGAAACTTTTACAGATGGATAACTTGGCCTATTTTGCGATGAAACAAAACGGAGCTGAAGAGAGCAAACAAACAAATAAGCCACGATGTGTCCATCATTAAACAACACAAGCCTCTCCTCCAAAAATACTTCTAATTAAAAAAACAAAGGGGAGGTGCATCCAATAAAAAAAAAATGTAAAAGTAATTCTTATAATTTATGCTGAAAACTGAATTAACACATCAAGCAACAATTGATGAAGAAGAAGACGAAGAAGAAGAAGAAACTGATACCTGAAAAAATCCAGATCAGAGAGATGACGAGAAGCGAAGATATGCCATAAACGCCGATAATGGTAGATTGAGGGAGGAAAGCTGGCACAAAATCCGGGAGATTTAGATCTCTGGGCATGTATGGGTGAGTAATAGAGGACTCAAGTTCCGCCATTTTCTCTCTATCGAAATAGGGATCTCGAGAGTGCAAATAGGGTTCCTTTCTAAGGCAGCAGTTGCGGGGAAAGAACGTTTGCTTTTGCAGGCTTTTATGAGTTTATCTCGACGATCATGGATTAAACAACCATCGTTGGATGTGGGGTTACAATGTTAATTAACATTACATTTGGGGTTACAAGGGGCTACACAAGACGGAGGTAGCCCGACCCCACAAATCAGCAAAACAGCATATAAAAATAAAAGAAAGAGAAAAGGGCAAAGAAGATAAAAAAAAAAAGTAAATTTTTTAAACTATTCCTACTGCTTCGCTAATTGACAAATGGTATTTTTACTGTTTAATTGTTTTTTTAAGTCACTCTTACTATTTTTTATAATTGACTAGCTTTACCTTTGTTGTTAACAACAAATGTGTTATATCACTTGACGTATAATTTTTTTGAAAACCTAATATTACCCTTTTTTGTCAACTCTACTCTCTATTATTCTTCACATTTTCAAAATAAAACTTAACAAATTGCTTAGTGATGGCCATGACATTGATTCAAAAGATGATGGTGGAAAGAAAGATGACACAAAGAGAGAACTCTGGCTGTTACCAAATTCGTCGCTTCTCTCATTTAGAATACCATTGCCTCATCAGCGCTTCTGCTACTGTTCCCCGAATAAGTCGTGCTCTTGAGTACGACGGGTAAGGTGGATGGCACGTCGGAGACGTAGCTAAAATCGTCGTTGTGGTCATTGATACCTCTCCAAGATTTCCGAACTTGCTATCATTCGATCTGAGAAGACAACCGATTCTTTGGGCGGGAACTTTGGGGAAATATCATTTCGGTGGTAATACGAAGGGAACAAGGTTTCAACCAAAGATCTTGTGCACGATAAAACGTTATTGATGAAGGGAAATTTGGCCCGACCTTGTGATCGCCCGACGCGTGGCAAAGGCAAGCAGCAGAGCACCCAAAGCGAACATCGGAAGCAAGTCCAAACTCACTACCAAACCCCAACTCCAGATCGCTGTGTTTAGTCCGAGCTCCTTGATAAGAGCGAACTCCCT